TTTTTTTTTTTTGCTAGGAATGTAGCTCAGTATTAAATTACTCCTAGGTTCGCACACACACACACAGCTAAACTCACCTTAGGTTTTTTTGAGTATTTGATACCTAAATTTTCCTTTTATATGACAAAAATTGTAAGTTGTCCACAGCATTTGTTGTAGGAAAGCATCTCGAAGATGATCAGTTGTCAAAATAGAAGGCTAAGTTTGATGTGGCATTGAGATTATAGAAGCAAAAACTTTTTCACAAGCACAAAAAATATCAATTTTGCACATTATCTGGGCACTGATTTTACCCAACAAAAGCAATTGACTGCTTAAATGGTAAAGAGTTTGTGATTTTTTCAATGATTTTCCGTATGGTACAATACTGCTGATTACTGGTGACGAGTTCTGCTCCTCAAATGTTGAAAGTATAACATTAGAGAATTAGAGAAGCATGCTGAGCCAAGCATATAAAGCAGTGTTGATTTAAAAAGGGGTAACATAGACTTCTCCCAGGAGGGAGAAGGGGGCCATAGCTGGTATCCTGGTATCCCAAGAAGCGAGGCTCTTCTGCCTTTTTATAGGTATTAGGCTTCCTTTGTTCTCCTGCTCTCTTTCCCTTATCTCTCTCCTTCCTGCATACATATGTGACTAGGCCCAGAAGATGCTTGGAGGGATGGCCAAAAGATGAGAAGCAGATGGACGGGGGAAGGGCTGGATGGAGCAGCCCAGGACACATTTAATTAATAACTTTATAGGGAGGAACAATTCCTGGGACAGGTTGACCTAGCAACAGGTTTGAGCAGGGGCAAGTTATCTAGATAAGGGTGAGGGAAGGCCTCTGAAGGAATTAACATTTCAATTTCTCCATTCTCTGGATCTGACTCTTGCCTATCTGCCTAATTCTGGTTTCAGTATATAAAAATCCTAGAGAATATTACAAATATTTTGGTTTTAGTTTCATTAAAATTATTAGCTGGGTGTGGTGGCACTTGCTGATGGTCCTACCTACTGATGCAGGAGGATCAATTGAGCCCAGTTTAAGGCCAGCCTGAATGAGACTCAGTTTCAAAATAAAATTATTTACATTAGTAACCTTTTCTGCTGAACTGAGCACTGAGGTGATGCCAAAGCAAGCTTCTGGCCAGAGTTATAATTCTTGAAATGGGGAACTCTTCAGAACAAGGGTCAACAACCTGAGTGTCAAAAGATGACCTTCCAGATATTTTAGATTGGTAGTATTGGTTCCTTTGTCATCATGGAAAGCTGCAGAAATAAATCCCTCTGAGAATTACACTTGCATTCTGCAGTTATAACCAGTATCCTGATGGGAGTGAACAGCATGAGTTTCTATGATGGGTAGTAGAGAGGATGCTCTCATATCAGAGAAGAGGGAAGAATAACACCCCTCACCCAGCCTTTTATTTTCCTGAAGATTTTCTTCTTTTTTATTTTTATAGAGGAGGAAAAGTTTGAGGGCTCACAGTTTCAGAGGTCTAAGTCCACAGAAGGCTGGCTCCATTCCTCAGGGCTTCAGGTGAGGCAGAACAACATGGCAGAAGAGTGGCAGAGGGAAGCAGCTCACATCATGATCAGAAAGCAGAGACTCCACTCATCAGATACAAAAATATACCTAAAGCCACACCCTCATTCCCACCTCCTCAGGCCACACCCTATCATTTCAGTTACCACTCAGTTAATCCCTATCAGAGGATTAAATCACTGATTGGGTTAAGACTCTTACAACACAATAATTTCTCCTCTGAACCTTCTTCCATTGTCTCACGTGAACTTTTGGGGGACACCTCACATCCAAAACAAAACACCTTTGTTCTAAAAGTCTCATACCAGTTTGAGATGTTCTCAGAAATAATTTCTTCCTGAAATATTTTATCTGTTTTTTTCATAACTCTGTTCCATTCCCTTTTTACTTCCAAAACCATATGTGATCTTTTACCTAACATTGTTTAGGTGGCATCAAAGTCATTTCCATAATTTGCAAGTCTCTGGGAATTTCCATGAGACTTGCAAACTAGAATTGAAGTATAACTCAAATATATTGCTCTGAGTACCAATTTATAAGTGGAAAATGATTTAACTTTAGGAAACTGCTACCTGACTATTGAATTGTTTAACTTCTTATCAAATGGGAATCTCAGAGAAACAATATATATTTTATTGTTTCCTAAAAAGTAGTTGTGCT